TTCATTTGGCAGTTGGTTATTCTGAGCTGAAATATTGCATAAGATAGCACAAAGAAATTGTGGGTAAAAAAAAAAAAGAAACAACAGCCAATAGAAAGCATCACTTCAGCATTAGGCACATACTTTAGCAAGTCTGGCAAAAGATTGTCAATTCTTGAAATGTCTTCATTGAATGTTTTGAAAATGATTCGGTCCAGTCGACACAGCACAACAAAACAGAGTAAACTTGTGATAAACTCTGTACTTCATGCAGACTTTGAAACCAGAATAATTCATTAATAAAAGAAAGTTTAAGTGCTTTCAGTTAGGTTTGCTTTTGTGTTGTCAAATTTTGCAAGCAAGCATTTGATTGGATGATTATGACCTCATGGCTAGAAATAAGTAACCCATCAGAACATCTAGTAACACCATGAGCTCGCTTAATATGATAAATTATGATAATTTGGCACCTAAACACACAGAGAGTAAGAAAACAATGGATGGAACTACAACCGTCTACAAACTCTCTTCAACAGAAGCTTTGAATATGCAAAAAGCTACTCCATGAAATAATATTCCAGGTTCAATACAAGTTAAACTCAACAGCATTTGTGGCAGAACGTTGACTAATATATCATTTTGAATCGTCCCTCTTTTTCTTTAGAAAAAAAGCAAAAATTCAGTCGATGGTGAGGCACTTACAATGAAAGTGATTGGGGCAATTTTTGGTCGATTTAAAAGAAATTTTCAGCTCATAATTTAAAAGCACTTACATGAATTCTTTTGTTAACGCTTGCATATTATTTGAGCTCTACAGCTATTTAAGTCATACTTTTTTGGTTTTAGGATTTAAGACTTTATGTTGACATGTCAACATAATAGTAAAATGGTTTTCAACCATACACAGAAAATCTTAGCAACCAATTTCACACTAAAATCATGTTAATATGCATATTGTTTACTTCTTGTAATTAGTGAATATTGTAATGTTTATATTTACATTCACTTCCATTGTACAGGAAGTGCCTTACTGTAACCCAGATTTTTGCTTTTTTTTTTTTTACAGATGAATTTTCATGGTAATCAACATTACACCACCAGTGCTGTCAACTGATCTTGTACTGAACTCGGGATATTTCTTAAACTTGTATCAGGACCTCTAATATATAACAAAAAAAATTACACAGGTTACAGTACTTTCCAATGCAAGTAATGGAACTAAAAAGTTGCAAATAACATGATTTGCTCCCTCCATTATAAATAGCAGCAGTGCGATCATGTAAACCATGAACAAGGCCAATGACCCTCATCCCATGTCTGTTCCTTTACACCTGAACACACACCCAGAGGGCTCTCCCAAACACTCATACACACAGCTGCCATAACAGCCAGCAGAAAGTCATCAGAATGAGATATGTGGGTGGTTTTTCCCACCCTCTTCAAGAAACATTTTATTCCACCACTTATCAGTGTGTAAGTCCAACATCAGCACTTTATGAATCTGTAAAAACATTTGGGACTTTTATTTGATTCTTCAGCTCATATCTTGTTTCTTCCAGTGCCTGAGCCAGACCCATGGAAAAGTGACTCCTTTCCAAAACGAGAAAAAAAAATAACATGGGAGATCCAGTGGCGTTCTTGGTCAGGGTGGGTTCTCCTTCCTCTTAGTCCGTGGTGCCCATTTTTGCAATGAGCTCATCACAAATCTTAGTAAGCTCTTCAATCTCTTGATTCTGGAAACAATAATGTGGATTTTAAATAATGCTTTCTTAGAAAACTAAAAAGCTGATTTGATGTTACAGCATGTGTTATATTGCATCGGCTGTGGGTGACGGTGAATGTGTGAGAGTTCACCTTCGGTTCGATTGCCCGCTCCAGGGACTCCACCTTCATCTGCTCTTTTCTCAGGCTGGCGTTCAGCGCCACGCTCTCTGCGTTGGCCTTAGTTCGCACCTGAGCTATTTCCTCATTCGCTCTGCAAAAACATACCCATATCAGAGATCAATCAATAGTGTAAAATACATTAGATTAAAGATCAAATGCAGACGGGAAACTGATGAATCACTTTAATGCTAAATATCGTCCTTACTTGTCAAGTTTCTCCTCTGCGTGGATTTTGAGGGTCTGATAACGTTGTTCCTCCTGCCTGACGCGTGTGAGGTAGTCCTGAGCACACTTCTTTAGCACTTCCTCATTCTGACAAGAGAGCAGCAGAATCATCTGTATATGTCCAGAGGAATCATTTATATAGTCAGCATTTCAGACATTAGAGAAGATGTCTTACCTTCTTAAAGCCCTCAAGAACGGTCTTCATGTTTTCGTAGCGTCTGAACAGGTCGGAAAACGAGCGTTCCACTGAGTTGAGGTCAGCAAGGGCTTGATCTCTCTCCACGGTTAACTGATGGACGCTTTTGTGAGATCCTATGTTCTTTCGCTGCTCATCTTCTGTATTGGGAAAAATTCCAGACAAAAAAATACAAAATAAAATAACCTTTAAAATTTATATTCAGAATTTCATTGAACAGCTGCTTTGAGAGGTAGATCACTCACCTATCATTTGAGCTACCGTCTTCTCATACTCATCCACTATTTTCCTATGGTTAAAATCAGTAAATAAATGTTAGAATGTTTCGTTGTTGAGACTGTACTGTGCGAGCATTAAACTTGTGTGGGCATAAAACCTTCCCCGGTGCATTCTGGGAAGGGTTTTAGATTAGGATGTACCTCATTTCAGTAACTTCTAGTCTACTCTCTTCATATTTCCTCTTCCACTCATTGGCTTCAATCTCTTTGGTAATTATCTACAGGTACAAAAACGCAATTTTATAAACAGTCCATTACAAGTCGACACTTTTCGATTTAATTTCAATTTTACACAAAAACGTTTCAAATTTTTAATTTAGTAATAAATTAAATTTGTAAAAAAATATTAAAATAGTAATTATTCAAATAATTAAAAGTAAATACAATTCAAAAAGTACAATAAATATTACAGTATTTATTTGTCATTTAATGGTTTTACATGCGTTTACATGTACTGTACATTGTAACGGGACGGAGTACTCAGAACAGTATAGACAGATGCTTGTGTTACCTCTTCTCTAATCAGTGTGAGCACTGCTGCTTTATCCATCTCACTGAGAGAGATTGAATCCAGCCCTGGACTCGTTTTCGCTATGGTCTCACTGTCTGAAGAGCTGAGAGCTGAGAGACTCTTACACAAACTCTCACTCTGCAGAATAAACACAATCAGAGAAAAGCTTTAGGGAGCATTTCTTTTTGAAATAGATTTATTATACCTTATGCTCTTTTATCAATACTAATACCACATTTTTCAATGAGATGAAACAATGACTACACTCTTTCCTCTGACCCAGTTATTAGCTTGCCCTTGAGCAGATTAAGGCCTGTGGACATCATAATCCTCTTAATGGGTTAATAATTATGAATCCTTGTCAGGCAGAAATGCACCTCTGCTAGGAATTCATGTGTTGAACTTAGTCATACAGGAATGGGTTGAATATCATATGCCATATCTAATGGACACTAACAAAACAGAACTTACAGGAGAGGAAAGGTCCTTCTCATCAAACTGGTCTGTTATGCCCACTGGCAGATCTGAAAAGAATGACAGATTATTACTGACTCTAACAATTTACCATTATTTTATAATTAGTTTTGTTGTTGCTGTTACTTTGCAAGGGGACAAAGATTTCTGAAAATATTAAACAGTAAAAAGTATGTTAACAGTTTATAACAGTCTCTCGTTTAAAATTAAGATAATATAAAAATAATTCATAAAGTAGCCAATAGAGGGCAGCACAGGCTCTAGTAATAGGCACTTGAATTCAGATCAAAAGCGTTTCTTCTGCATTTATCTACACATAATGACACGTTTTACTGAAAGAAAAGAAAAAGCTCTTTGTGCAGGTATTATCTTAGTATACATACAACATTAAACGACAGGCGCAACGATTTTAACGTTTGTAATATGTATTTCTTGGTCAAATTCAACAGCATGCCATATACGGCGGGACTTAATTGTATACACTGTGATTTGATTGGATCATGTAAAGGGTGTTATGATCTTATTGGTTAAAACTTCCCGCCCGGCGGTCTTAGACACAACGTCACCAGCGAAATAAAAAAAGTACTAATTTCTAAGGCTTATTAAAATGTACATTTTTATAAAACAATATGACAACAAAAATCTTTTCTTTAGAATAATGTCTTTTTGATTTAAAATAGTCTTTTAACAAGGTAACCAGGAACATTTTTTCAACATCCGTGACACCACTTCATCAACTGCTCATCAAAAACTTCATCAACTTGTGACAAACACAATCTTGCCAAACGGATGCTCTCTGGTATCACAAAAGATCCTATTTAAAATGTAATGGGAATAACAGGACTGTCTGTGACTGTCTGAGAGAGAAGCAAGCAAAACAAGTAAGTATGTTTGCCATTCATAAGAGTTCTGTGTCTGCATAATGCCCCCAAACTGTCCAACCTAACAGAGCAGTGCTTGTTAAACCTCATTAGTGACAGATTGCCCCAGTCTCTTAACGATTATTGATTTATTGTCTGAGAATACACACTGCAGTACTACACGTAGAGCAGACTGAGCAGTAGGCTACGGAGCACTTCTCCCTCACCATCTGCAGTCTTGGTACAGGTGGTTGTTTTGGTGCAGTCTGAAAACTCCTCTGGCCCGTCCTTCTGGCCCATGACAGTGGAGGCTAACTTCTCCTCATCTGTGGCGTGATGGACGCGGTGGGGCAGTTTAGATGCAGGATCTTCCTGCACATCTTTCTCCTGTGATATAGAAAGCAAATAAGAATTTTACAAATATAGATGATATACATTGATTATATAATGGTTATACTTAACAGATTTTGCAATGATGGTAAACCGAGATTTGTTTTTCCTGCATACAAAATAGCACTGCAGTTCAGCTGTGAATGGGCAAAATATTTGAATGGTCTAAAATTAGTTATAGCCCCTCAGACTCTTTTCTCCTCATAGAGTCTTAAACTCTCTGCGACAAAAGCACAGGCGGACACAGTGACCTGCTTTGGGAACTGAATTCTGTTTCAGGTTGTGTTGTGCGCACACACACACACAACAATGATGCACACTAGTGTCCTAGTTCAGAGCGGGTAATATAGAGATACTGTATTTGAAGTGCAGGGATTTTTCAAAGTGGGATACTGAGAGAGAGAGAGAGAGAGAGAGAGAGAGAACAAGGAGGAGAATATTTGCTGAGTCACTGCAGTAACCACCAAGTCCAAGACATTACAACAAATCTTAGAGGCTTTGTATACATTATATACATATTATGTTATGCTTTTGCAGTCATGTACATATACATGCAAAAGATATGCAAATACATGCCCACACAGAACAAGATGCATACAAATTTACAATTTGTTGGACAGTGTTGAAATGATACCTGATTGCAGACATCCAGGACTAAGGACTGATTCTCATACTTCTTTACTTTACATGAGTTCCTGCAGAAAAGAATATTGACAGAATCAGTATATGGTATCAAGAAATGAAACTTTTAGCAAGAACTTCTCTCTTCAAAGTCTATTGTATTGAAAGCAGTAATACCGTTAGTTTCAGATAGACATATATATCGATCTGGCTGATTGGACAACATTTTTGATTATATTTTGTTCTTGTTTAGAATATTTTGTCAATGCATAATTAACATTTTATTTATTTACTTTAACCATTTTTTTCCAAGGGAATTTTTTTAAGCATCTTTAGTTTCTGTCTGTCTTAGTCTCATTAAAAGTGTACATATTTGTTTTTCCATTACCAACAGTAATGAAATAATGAATTTAATAAGTAATGAAAGGCATATCAACATGTGTTATGTGTTACCAACAGTGCCAACAAAGTTTTATAGATAAACATGTTTAAAATTATGTACACTAACATCAGATAAAAACTCGTCATATCAGTGCCCTGTAAAAAGCTGTTTTACTTTCTACATGGTGGTCCCATTACATGATTGTCACCATGTTGAGATCACATGACCAAATACCACTCATTATACAGATCTTGATTAACCCATTATTTATCATACTTTTTTTAAGGCTGCATAATGGGTGACAAATATTCCTGCAAATATGGTAGTTCTAAATGGTAGTTATACAATGGGATCGGTAACCAAAAACCTTTGCTTTTCACAAGATGCTGCCTCCACTCCTGAAGGTGTCAGATGCAAGACCACGGTCATATAGGCCTCAAAACATTTAAATTGTATTATATTCTATATAAGCTATACATATCAGCGTTAACTTGGCTAGCCAGTCTGTTTTCTAGGTATTGGCATCTATTGAAAAAAAATAAAATAAAAATCGCAGTAGTCATTGTATTCTACAAAAAAAAAAAAGCTGTTTAGATCAATAAAAACAGAGCACATTTACAATCCAAAGACTGATGTGTGCTTTACAACACTTTAGCAAAGAGACCATCTGTATATTGGTCACCATGAGAGGGTCAGATGTGAAAATCTTTACAAAATGCCCAGAGACTAAATCAATTCTGTCCTCCGGACAATTAGAATACAATAAATTAATTAAGTAGACCTTCTGCCCTAGTTTGAAGGACTGATTCTGTACATGATTTGGAGCCAGAGGGCAGTTCAGTCTTCAACAGAGCTCATGACATGCAATGGGACAGAAGAGATAACAGTGAAAGTACAGGAAAGGAGGGCAGGAGAGGATACTTACAATAGAAAACAGAGAAACCGCACTTGCTCAGTGGTCCTGAGGACAGTATGACAGAGGAAAGGACAGGGGAGGTAGGAAGCACACACAGAGAGGAGGGAATGTGGAGAGGGGACGTGCCGTAAGACATTAGAGGGCAAGATAGAAGCATGAAGAAAACAAGTAGGAGTGAGTTTAAGCTTCCTGACTTTCACAAACAAATAGGATTTCGTTTGTAGAGGGGATGCCATAGTTTAGAGGAAAGTGTGAACTGTATACACTGGGACAGTGTAAACAAGACTACTGTAAACTACGTATGAAAAACTATTGTGCCACATGAAAGATGTATGATTAGACAACAACGGAGTTGTTGAAAAGAAAGGGTAGCATACCAACAGTACATAACACAAAAGGTGTGACATGTGTTGATAATGTTTAGTAGGTGAAAATTGCTCCTTTTTGCATTTTATGCACAATAGCTAGCTACAGATGCAAAAAAAAAGTCACAGATGCCACACACAAGTTTTGCCTGTCTGTCTAGCATATCTGCCACTCACGTGATGATCCTGTCTTTGTTTTTCTTCGGAGACTGTCCTGCTTTCTTCCGCTGCTCCACAGTTCCCTCTGGTTTGTGTTTGTCCGTAAGCTTCTCAGTCGCAAAAACAAAAAAAAAGTCACAGATGCCACACACAACAAGTTTTGCCTGTCTGTCTAGCATATCTGCCACTCACGTGATGATCCTGTCTTTGTTTTTCTTCGGAGACTGTCCTGCTTTCTTCCGTTGCTCCACAGTTCCCTCTGGTTTGTGTTTGTCCGTAAGCTTCTCAGTCGTTGGTTTAATCGTGTCATTTCCATCTAAGGTCTTTGATGGATTAAAAGGATCAACAGAGTCATCAAAGTTATCATGGTCAAAATTATACGATGCTTTAGGAAGAGTTGGCGAGTTACTACGTTTATTGTTCCCACCAAAAGGATTAAAATTGGGATCATCCCACTGACTTGGGTCAAAGTTGTAGGATTTTTTAGGAATAGGAATATCATCAACGCTCAAGGGATCCACATTCTCTGATGGCGGTTGGTCTTGTTCTGATGAGGTCTCTAGTGGTGGAGCTGCTGTTTCTGCAGCTTTTGGTCTCTGTTTTTTTGAAGTAGTCAGCTTGTTGCTTGTCTTCTTTCCAGACTTCTTGGGTGGAGGTCTCTTTGCTTCGGCATCATCAAGTCCAAACTCCAGCATTACTGGCTGAGCAGGCATGTTGTCCATCAACTCTGTTTTAGGAATACTGGCATTGGCAGGTGAAGAGTTCTGCAACTTGGACCCTTCAGTCGTGAATACATTTATGGTATCGTCAAACTGATCAGGGTCAAACTTGTAGCTCCCCACTGGAAGTATCGGAGGATCATCATCCACCTCATTAGGGTCTACACCATTCAGTGGGGCCTTCACCTTGAGGGAAGGAGGTCTAGGCTTGAGGGACTTGGTCTGTGGTTTGGAGAATGGCTCTTCAATGTGACCATTGCAGGTGTTGGTGTCATCTGTTGTAACTGCTTCAGCAGGATCGGGTTGGTCCACATCCATTTCAACAGAGGAAGGCTGGTTCCAGAGTTTCAGGGTTGGGCTTGGTTCCACACTGCTCTGTCGCACCACCGGGGCAGGTGCATCCTCAGAAAAGCTCTCGTCCAGGGTCAGGTTCTGGGTTTTGGTTGTGATGGAGGTCAACTGGTTTAATTCTGGGAAACCTGCCAAGAGTAGAAGAGGTAATTATTTTATCATGGTCCACAAAATTGAATCGAATTACCCTGTTGAAAAACATGTATGCAATAATATGTTACTGAATATTGCAGTATATACATCTAACAATATTTTAAAGTATACTCTATTGTTAACCTATGGAGGACATTTGAATAACAGACTTCCTTACGACAGAAAAGGCAGGAAATGCTTCACTCAGGATGCAAAGAGCTAAACAATAGTTCTCTCTTCTCTGTCTCCAACAGGCATTAAAAAACCTAAAACTTCAAACTGCAAAACTTCAAGCAACAGTCAAACATAAATGTGGGCTAGATGTTCTAACACACATTTTGGATGTACTGGAAAGAAGACTGCCCGTTTTCTACCATGATATGAAGAAAAACTGCCTCAACAACTGTAGCAATTCAAGCTGCTCTAGAATGTCATGTGACATGAATCTACATGTGAAATTATGTCAGTACTCTTAAAGTAGCCATTTTGAAACACTTTCCATTGACATACAGTCCTGCTGGCAGTCATCACTGAGTTTTGATGCAATAGCCTGTTGCTAAGAGACAGCCTATTTATAAATGAGATGTATGACTTCACACTGACCTCCGATTGTGGCATCTTTGAAAAATACTAGCGGTTATCTGTTCAAAATATTTACATACGAGAACGAACATGTCCAGTGATGAGGAGACCGTTTCTTACAGTTGAATTTGTGAGTTCAGTTAGTGCTCTAACACGACATGAGTTCAAGTTTGTTTGAGGGATATTTGTAGTGGTTAAGGCTCTAGGGTGGTAACCGGAAGGTTGCTGGTTTGATCCTCACAAGGACTAAGCCATGAATCTTAACTACTGTACTCTTAAGTAAGGCACCTAACCACAGATTTCTTCAGGGGACTGACGTGTAAAAAGTTCTTAGCACCATTCTAGGTGCATAACAAATACAACTTTTAGGCTGGTAATGTCTTAACTGTAACAATGGTATACTGGACAAAAGAGGAACTTGAGGTTTAGCAACTATCATTTTAGGGAACTAGCTTTACGTGTATGAAATTAAAACAACTGCACCTTTCAGCATTGTAATGACTATCACTCACAGACCTTCCAGGAGTCCTCTCCAATGCCCACACCCAGTCTTCCTCCTGATTTTGCCAAGTTCTAGCTTTCTCTTCCTCTTGGTGTCTTTTTGTACACATCTGGTACTGTCCTTCAGTGTTAAAAGAGATGGCAGACAGCCCTACTCAGTATGCAAGAACACTCTGATCAGCACTTTTAAAGTATGACTGCTCTTGTCATCACTTCCAGAGGTCAAGGCTCATCCTCAACATTCATAAACTAATTTCTGCAATGGATAAATCTTTTGACAGATACGATCCATGTCCCTACAAGTTCTGTGACCTCTTTTAAAAAGCTATATGCGTTTTATTTACCAACTGTCAATTCGGGGCCATGAAATTCATATTGTGTAGGTAACTGAAATGTTGTAGCTTTGTACTCCAGATAAAGGTGTCTGTTAAATGAAAGACTGCTGAAATTACTGTTCCACATCATGAAACATTCAGGATATGAACGCAACGGTTGCCATTTGAACAAGCAACACCAATGAAGGAGAATCATCAGGCACAATGCGATTGGTTATGCAACCAGTGCTTGAGGCTGTGACTTGAGCTTTCTCTTCGTGGTGGGAGTGTGATGCGTCGATGTTTATTTCATCAAAACAGAAAAGGCTTGGTATGAACAGCATGAGCTAATATATTCGAAACACAAATGGTTCATCTCCACCATTGAGACACTTCAGAGCGATTTTGAATATAAAACATAACTAAAATAATAAGAATGCTCATCCCAGGCAAATGCATAAAGCAGTCACAACATATTACTCAGTTCCGTCTTAAAGATACCACACACAATAGCCATAAAAATGAGACTGCATGACTGAGCTTGATCTAGAGTAGAACAGGCAATTGTACAGTAAAATAATGATTGTTTACTCTGACGTCAAAAATAAACTAATGTCAGCAAGAGTTCATATCTGACTTTAAATTGAAGGTGCAGCAGGATTTAGTGCCTGGGGTGGAGATGACACAATAAGGCTTGTGTTTACATAACCACAAATTCTGGCTAAAGCACTGCTAGCCATGAAAATGTGTGTTCCAGACGGCTAGCACTGGCGTATATCTGTACAGCTGTGAGGATGAGGATGTCTGTGGTGGAAACTGGATTGTGCTCTGCTGGAGCCAGACTTTTACGGTCTGTCTGCTCAAGCAATCCAAACCACGACACGTAGGCTTGGAAAAGCTGCCTCTATTAGCCTAAAGCATGCTGCATTTCTAAGGAAAACATTCTCACAAAACTCAATGGGAAAAAAAAAGGTTACATTTTTTTCGAAAAAGGATTTATTCCTGTGAGGTATAACAATCTAGCTTCCAGAGACTAGGGTTAGGAAGGGAAGCAAGATAAAAATGAATAAACTAGAAAAATTGTGGTAGCAAGCCTAGCTCAGTTTCAATGAGTTCAAATGTGTGTTGAAGAGAGTCTGTCTGTGACGTTTAGAGCAAAGAATTAAATCACATGATGTTCTTTGCTGTGAGCCTTTGACCTTATCCATTGATAAACACGCTCTGAGAGGAGCAGGCGCTTTTGTTAAATTCCAAACTCCTGAATTCCAAGCTGTGGACTTTTCCCACACTGGGTCAGGGGCCTCTCTTTACCCAAACCCCTATTTTCCAGCCTCAAAACCTCCTCCACTCAATTACAAAAACATAACTAATACGGTCTGCACTGTTTAAAATAAGGCTGAGGTCAAAATGCATCGATGCGGTCGAATCATTGCAGCGCAAAACACAAACTTCTTCATCCTCACCTATGAAACCACTGGAAGACTTCAGAGCATCACCCAGAGACTAAAATAAGATTTTAAGAGGAAAAAAAAAAAAAACCAACAGAAAGCTGCATGTGTTTTCATGTATTCTCTCAACGGTAGTGACAAGTCAAATTTTAGAGCATTTATGAGATTTTAATGGGCAGATAAATTTCTCAAAAAAGTCTGGGGAAGTGCAGCTGTTTTGAGTTAGTGATATGGTACACTCCCCAGAATTTGGACACGTGTCTGATGGCAGAGAGGGAAATTAAGAAAACAAGGCAAGCTTTTAAGTAAAAGAAACTGTTCTGTAAAAGGAATGGGAAGCATGTCAAAATCTAGCTTTTATTGTAGAAGACAGTCAGGTCTTGTGAATGGTGCCCAATTTGCAGACAAATTCTTTTGAAACGATTTAGTCAAACCAGTGCTAAAAATGTTTGCACTCGATCGTAAGGGATAACTTTGTTGTGATTTATTAGATAAAGTATAATTTATGCCCATGTTCCAACACCACTTAGGAATGACAAGAAATGCCCTAACCCTTCAATGTATTGCTTACAAGTTAAAATATCACACATATATTACATATGCACACAAAACCACAGAGACATACTTTCTTCTTGTTGCCATGGCAACATCACATTGCATGAGGAATAGAGGCACATGTAGTGACAGGTGCTCTGTGGCATCTCTAAATCTTCTGTCTGTATCGATGGCTCTCAGTTAGCATGTGGTATAGGAGGTCTTACAACAGAAAGCTGCATGTGTTTTCATGTATTCTCTCAACGGTAGTGACAAGTCAAATTTTAGAGCATTTATGAGATTTTAATGGGCAGATAAATTTCTCAAAAAAGTCTGGGGAAGTGCAGCTGTTTTGAGTTAGTGATATGGTACACTCCCCAGAATTTGGACACGTGTCTGATGGCAGAGAGGGAAATTAAGAAAACAAGGCAAGCTTTTAAGTAAAAGAAACTGTTCTGTATAAGGAATGTGAATCATGTCAAAATCTAGCTTTTATTGTAGAAGACAGTCAGGTCTTGTGAATGGTGCCCAATTTGCAGACAAATTCTTTTGAAACGATTTAGTCAAACCAGTGCTAAAAATGTTTGCACTCGATCGTAAGGGATAACTTTGTTGTGATTTATTAGATAAAGTATAATTTATGCCCATGTTCCAACACCACTTAGGAATGACAAGAAATGCCCTAACCCTTCAATGTATTGCTTACAAGTTAAAATATCACACATATATTACATATGCACACAAAACCACAGAGACATACTTTCTTCTTGTTGCCATGGCAACATCACATTGCATGAGGAATAGAGGCACATGTAGTGACAGGTGCTCTGTGGCATCTCTAAATCTTCTGTCTGTATCGATGGCTCTCAGTTAGCATGTGGTATAGGAGGTCTTCTTTTACCTGTGCTCTCGGTGATTGGTTCATCCAATGGCTGATGGACAGGCATCTCAGCTTCAGGTGTCTCAAATTGGCCCTCTGAGTCCGAACTGATGGAAAATGAAGAGAACCTCTGTGATTAGTACACATCTTCGCTTGACAAAAAGACATTGCCTGGCACAGCTTGATTTAAATCAGATGGATAAATGTTAATCTTGGATCAGGGGTGATCAGTATAAAAAAAAAACTCATCAGATCATCAAATGACATCAATATTTAATAAAACATTTTGCACATGTGGCTTAAAGGTTTTGCCTCAGGTGAAATGAAACTGAACACAGCACATCATGTCCTCATTAAATAACAATACTGTATCCCAGCTGTGACACCAATACTTTCTGCATAATGTGGTTTATCAGGTCTGTTTTGATGGTTTGTGTGAGGTAACACTGAAGAGCTTCCTAGATTAAAGGAATAGTTCACCCAAAAATTTAATTCTCCTGCAAAATTGCTTTCTCATCCTCATGTTTTTTCAAACCCATATGACCACGTTTCTTCCATGGAAAACCAATGAAGCATTATGCAATTAGGCCTTCAAGTTTCAGAAAGGACATAAGTGTCACAAAAGCAGACCCATGTGCTTTTTAAGTTAAGGGAATAAGGATTTAAAATGTCAACTTATTACATATGACTTCTTAGGACCCATTCAATGTCATTGAATGAAAAAAGGCAACCACTACAGTTGCATAATGGTTGCATACAGTGTTACATAAAACTCACAACAAAGCATAATGGTCATGAGCCTGAGCTGAAAGGGAAGAATAGTTAATTTAGTGTGTCTGTCTCTGTGTGTGAGTGAGTGCAAAATCGGTCACCAAGTCTAGGAGAACTGCCCAGTCTCGTTACATTAGGCCACCTGCAGTCCCAGAATACCGTTAGGGAAGTAATCATTACTAGTCCAGCAAACAAACACAACAGAAGAACATATAGGAACTTATGCTATGAAGTGCTATTAAAAGGTTTAGAACAAAGTTGCTAACATATCAATTTTATTCTGCCGTTCCCTTCTAACAACCACTTATTTCTAACTGGGCGTTCCCAAACCACTCAACTACATCACTGTGTTTTTCATAAAATCCCTGCCTGCACAACTCATGCTGCTTGTACTGACTCCCACTGAGCTCCATAGAAATGAGTAGATCTCTACAGAACGTGTGGGTAGCTTACGGTGTGTTTTTCTAAATATATTCACAACTTTCCTGATTCTGGCACTCTTTTGGGCCATTGTTCAGGTTGGTGTAGTGATTAATTTGCATCAGTCTCTCAGGCTGCGAGGCATTAGGAAAGAAAGGATTCTTCCAGGAAAGTAATGTTAGCAGACAGCTCAACAACACGCTTAAGGAAAACAAACCAAAACAACTTTTTGCCTAGATGATACATATGAACTAGTATTATATAAATAAAAATAGAGAAACTACATTTTACAAGTCTATTAAAACAATGTCAGGTTTATGCTTAACATCTCTCCTCAAAAAAAAAAAAAAAAAACAGCATGTCTGTCACACAAAGATGTGGGACAAGTTGAACACCAAAGGTTAATAGCCAGGAACATGGATTTCTTCAAATCTTCAGCCCCAAGTATGAGCAATATTAATGCTAGTCATAGCATGAACTAATAATGAAGCAGAGTAATAGACAAATAAGGGTCTTTTTAACAAGAAAAAAACAGTGCTGGGAAAGACAGTGTTATCTATGGGCAAGGAAATTATCCGTGTCACAATTGGGGGGTTGGGAGAGGAGAGCACTTAAATTCTGATCTTTATCTGAGCACAGAGACACATTAGACTAACAGCTAGACACTGAGCCACGCACACTTCCTAAGGAAATCCCCCAGTGAAGCTGAAAACACCCACAAACTCACCAAGAACACACATATAGATGAACAAACGTGTACATGCCATTTTCCCCAACCGTGACTAGAGCACCAACAGATATCGACGTTCAGAGTCTCTGATCTCTGACTGCTTTGAGCCATGTGGCTGACTGCTAAGCCATAGCTGTCTGCACAACCTTTCAGATCATCCAACTCAAACAGGTGGCTCTGGGGGCAGCTTTTCTAAGGTTGGCCTCTACTGCTTGATCTCGGACCCGTTTTCAAGGCAAGGACTTACGTTACTTAAGAAAATAACAAGCATTATAAATAACATATCCCACACTTCCTTTCTCAAAAGCAACCGGAAACCCCAACTTCATATCCCCCTGTAGAACACATCGTCATTTCCTTGCTCACGTTATGGAGTTGACAAGGTTCTAGACTTGCCTGCAGCCATGAGACCTTTCGTCGTCCTCTTGATCTCCTTGCATAGCCTGTCGTGCCTCGTCCGTGAGGGCTTCGTCGTCCATCCTCAAATCAATCTCAGCTTCTTCCTCCCCTCCTCCTCTAACGGCTGACCAGGTCCATTTGGCCCACTGCACTGGTGACAGCCAAGACATCTTTGACCTCTTGCTGGTGACACGCCAAACGTCTACAGGAACACCTTGTGGGCGAATCCAAACAAGTGAGTCAGTCTCCCCTTGCTTCTATTTCTCTCCTCCTGTCTTGCAGATGTTTTTTTCTCAGTGGCAGGCAATGCTTTACGTGGTCTTGAAGCCGAGCTTCATGTTTTCGTCTCAAAAGCCTCACTGCTTCCTTCCTCTCACGCAACTGTTGATATTGAGTTCTCTTGCGGCTTCCTCTCTCGGTGCAGCCGAGTAACGAAGAGTTTGCAGTCTCCTTTCCCCTCGCAGAATACCACAGCAAAGATCAGCTGGCTGCCAGTTAACTCCCCCGTCCACCCCTCCTTTTTGGGATCAGACTATTGAGAAGAAACTAATGGGGGGGGAGGAGAATAGAGAATGCCTGTATCTCTGGTCCAGCTGATTCGGCAGCCCCCGTGGTGTAGGAATGGTAGCTTCCTTCCCAAGCAGAACTGCCTCTCTCATGAAAAGCAAAAGAAGGGAACTGAAGAGAAGGGAGAGGGGGGCTCTGTGGTTTCGGTACGGAGATTGTGGAATGCAGGGCTGAGCTCCTCCTCTGTATTTTTTCCATTAAACATCTCTAGCCTTGAGCTCCAGCTCACAACCAGGAAAACCTGTTCTTTCACTTGTCCTTTCACATTGCTACCTGTTTGGAATGCCTCAGCAGATCCCTGGGGAAGTCAGCGTTCCCATGACTAATATGTACTCAAACCAACATCCTTTTCCAATGGGAAATAGACCACAAGACCTCTACAGCAGGGGTGCCCAAACTCAGTCCTGGAGGGCCGGTGTCCTGCAAAGTTCAGCTCTAACTTGCCTCAAAACATCTGCTGGTAAGTTTCTAGGATGCCTATAAGAGCTTGATTAGCTGGTTCAGGTGTGTTTAATTGGTGTTGGAGCTAAACTCTGCAGGACACCGGCCCTCCAGGACCCAGTTTGGGCACCCCTGCTCTACAGTATCTATACAAGTCATGAGCTTGCCTTGAAAAATAAAACACAAATAAAGGCTTATTACACGACCTAAGGACTCTCTGTGTGTACATTGCATAATCTTAATAATCATAATGCATAATCAGTGCTTAAGTATTTAGTTGACGGATACTGCACCAAGTATCTCTATTCTGCACCACAACCACATCCTTTGATCACTGTCAACAGTCTAAAAATACAACCCCAGTGAGGCCTTGTTGCTGGTCATTGCCATCACAAAGTCTACCCACACAACCAGAGCAACAGTTCTCAAGGCCGTAACGTGATTGAGCTTTAACAAAATGTCTTGAGCAGTGTTAGTGTGAGTGCAGATACTGAACTCAAATCTTTATGAAACCTCTATTAGACCATGAAAAGCAGATTTCCCTTAAAGCCTCGGGGTAACTTATATAACTGATCTCCATGTAGATGATGGGTCATTCCACATCAGAGGTCTGCAGATATTTCAGGCAGAATTCCTTCTGTGAGACAGTTAAATTAGAAAGCCTGTATGATATTACCAGACTGCTTGCTACGCTAATTGTGAAATGGCCACATCTCCTTTCAAGGCTTGGGTTTCTTAGAGCCATGTTACTTACATTCGTATGTAAATGAGTGCATGATGTTTTGGTGAAGAGACTGGATAAAGAAAGCAAAAGAAGAGTTTTTTTTTTCATTGGTGGAGACTTTTCATTATAAAAGACCATCCATATACATTATGGAGCGTTTTGTGAGGTTTTAATACCACATGCTCAGGATATGAGGCTAAGCTTCCATTATGCAAGTTGAGGAGGACTGCACAAGGAGGTCTCACATTTCAAACACACATGGAAAACTTGGCAGGAGACACCACAGAAGCCAGAATAAAAGGAAACGCACAACATAAAAGACAAAACAGGCCACTGAAGAAAGTGCTTCTCAAAAGAAACGTTGCTCTCTTTCCCCAAAACAATGACTGGGCACACATCTCAGAACATTTCACGTTAACAAGACACTAAGCAACCCAAACAGACCTAAATATGATGGTTTCTTGGATAATTTTGGTTCAAGGGAAAAGTCTTTAGGGAGTGTGCATCTGTGCTTCTAATGACAGATTCCACATTTGGAGAATTGAACAGATTGAAGCCGTTGAAGCGCTGTGTTTAGATCCACCCAACAGCCTGTGATAGTGAGTTATACATTTGTTTGTCTAGAGAAGCTCTGCTTTTTTAAAGCCACTTTCATCAAACCCAAAAGTAGCATTTTGAAATCTTTATAACATACTTGAAAGGAACTGAGCCAAGATTCCAACATATTGGATTCAAATCCTTTACAGTGTTGCTTTGTTGAACTACCTTTCTTACGAAAATCAGAAGCGACCCCAAAAGACTTTCTTCTAAACAATGTGATTAGTTCAAAAAATTTAAGGGGAATTTGACTAACCAACACTTGCTATTTTTTGTTCCGGCCACTTTATTTCCTGGACACAGCTGCTCCGGCCTATGAACTTGTGACGTCAGGCCAGCTTACCACATCATAACAATGACACTCTCTGATAACCTTCAGAGCATCATATTCCTGTGTTCAGTGCCAGGCTCAGCACGATATCTCATAAGCTCTCAGCATCCAATCTTGGTTGAGTGTGAATGATGACATCTGCTACTAGGGAGACTTCATTGCATTAGCTAAGACTACATACTTTTAGTTTTCGTTTTTTGCATCATCACAAAATTATTCAACAGCAGGATTTGAAATATGATTCGAGAACATTTGAAACAAGCATCATGGATATAAGCAATAAGGATGCCTTTAAGAAGCAATTCCTGCCTAGTTATTTAGCCTTTAAGGAACTATTAGATCTGTAAAAGAGAGATGTGATAACAGGCCGCCAGAACTAGACTGAGGCAAAAGCACACGGATAAGGGAGCAGAACCATCTTACATAACAAATCTTCACTGATGTGAGAAATGGTAGTATTATGGTCATTTGTGTCAGAATGGAGCTTATTCCTCCATATCATATTCCTGTGTTCAGTGCCAGGCTCAGCACGATATCTCACCATCCAATCTTGGTTGAGTGTGAATGATGACATCTGCTACTAGGGAGACTTCATTGCATTAGCTAAGACTACATACTTTTAGTTTTCATTTTTTGCATCATCACAAAATTATTCAACAGCAGGATTTGAAATATGATTCGAGAACATTTGAAACAAGCATCATGGATATAAGCAATAAGGATGCCTTTAAGAAGCAATTCCTGCCTAGTTATTTAGCCTTTAAGGAACTATTAGATCTGTAAAAGAGAGATGTGATAACAGGCCGCCAGAACTAGACTGAGGCAAAAGCACACGGATAAGGGAGCAGAACCATCTTACATAACAAATCTTCACTGATGTGAGAAATGGTAGTATTATGGTCATTTGTGTCAGAATGGAGCTTATTCCTCCAGAACAACACATCTTCACACGGCTGCACTCCATTGTTTAGTAACGGGAGCCAAAAATAGCTCAATCAGCTAAACAAACACTTTACATTTCCAGAAAAGACTGGAACATGATGGCCAATAAACAGTCACCTCTCCAATGCTGATAGGCTTTATGTAACTTAATCTATATAAAGCCATATAGAGATCCAGTCTATTTGTAGACGAGCAGTAATCATTGTTATTTTTACTGGAGTCACAAGACAGGGAGAACAGCTGTCCAAAAACAACTCGCATGAGAAAAACCACTCCCTTTAGAGTAAGGGTGTATCTCAACATGAGTCCAGAAACAGACAGTTCAATGCTCATTCCTGGTTTAATACAGGAGCTTAACATGAGATTTTGGCTAGTTTGCAATCAAATGGTTTAATACAGGAGATTAACGTGATATTTTGGTTAGATTGCAATCAAACATTATCAGTTTGCTATGATATAAGCAAACATAAGAGGAACATTAGCAATATTTTGTTTTTTAAACAATTAGAATTATTTTACATTATTTAGACAAACTTTTGGGTGATATTAATCAGGGAAGATGCGAAGATGAAAAATATGACAAAGTTCTGAAATTTTAATATACTCTGATTTGTGTAGAATTTTGGTGTGAGTTTGCTCTAGATAAAATAATTATAATCCTGTAAACACTGCACAGCAGTTAAAACCAACCTCTTCCCTCATGAGGTGTTAGTCTAAAGTCACAGAGCCACCTTGTGGTGAAAAACTGAACTACTTATAATACTACAATGAGTATAAAACTACAATGAGTGAGTTAAAGGGGAACTATACCAACTTCAATCTTCAATCATATATCAATTATATCAACTTCAAGCTTCAATAAATCCGAAATTAGGTCATTGTATGTATAACCAAAATGTTTTGAACCAATAACTTCTGAAAATATTTTGAGTTACTGAAAACACAGCATACTGGCCACATCTGCTGGTTAACTGGAGGTATATGCAAGCAGATTTTTATTTAAGGGCCATGCTTTTATATATTATAATATCAAATTTATCCTAAAAATTTTTTATCATGGTTTCACTAAATATAAAGCAGCACAACTGTTTTCTCCTGAGCAGCAAATCAGCATATTTGAATGATTTTTAAAGGATCATGTGACACTGAAGACTGGAGTAATGACTCCTGAAAATTCAGCTTTACATCACAGAAATAAATTACAATTTAAAATATATTGAACCAGAAAACTGTTATTTAAAATGTTAATAATATTTCACAAGATTACGGTTTTTACTGTATTTTTAAACAAATAAACGCAACATTTTTTTATCATGGTTTCACTAAATATAAAGCAGCACAACTGTTTTCTCCTGAGCAGCAAATCAGCATATTTGAAGACACTGAAGACTGGAGTAATGACTCCTGAAAATTCAGCTTTACATCACAGAAATAAATTACAATTTAAAATATATTGAACCAGAAAACTGTTATTTAAAATGTTAATAATATTTCACAAGATTACGGTTTTTACTGTATTTTTAAACAAATAAACGCAACATTGGTGAGCATAAGAGTAACATGTTCTTAAAAACATTTGAAAATCTTACTAACCCCAAATTTGTGAACGGTAGTGTATTGGTAGATTTTATACATCACAATATAGAAACTCAGCACAACATGGGCGTCGCTAGGCCATTTTTAGGGGGGCTATAACCTACTGTAGGCTACTACAGTACTACTAAAGTTTTCATTGCGTTCACCCCTCATCACACCACACAGCTGTCTCCTCCTGTGAAAATGAAGCACATATGAAGGCATACTTTATAAAACAATCATGTTGCCATTTTCATTTGAAAATGTAACTTTCAATGCAATACAATTTCCAGTGCATGTGGCAAAGAGGTTTGCATACTTGAGCTAAGGAAAGAGGGTTGTGCTAGAAATTAAACAGTAACATTTTGTGTGTGTACAGTAAACAGGTGTGTGTGTATGTGTGTGTGTGATCGATCATGAAGACTTGTATTTGGCTTATTCAGTTATATGTTATACCTATCTATGCAATACAATGGAATACTGCACTTTTTGGTATATAAATTTAGCGAACCACCCCTATTAGTCAAACATTTTTTATTTGATATATATATATATATATATATATATATATATTATACCCTCATTGGGGGCTGAGCCCCCCTAAAATGAAAATCTTGGAATCGCCCCTGGTTTTTGCCTATATGGATGGAAAAAAAAATCAAGCAATGTGCAGAATATTGACACATTTATAAAGCATACACTCTAAAAAAATAATTCAGTGGATCTATTGCCACTACTTAATTTAATGCATTAGTGCAAGATAAAAATTCAAATTTATTGATTTAATTAAACATTTTAAGTTTTAAATTTTTTTTAATGAGTTGTCCTG